CTTTGTGAAATGTCCAGGTTTTTAAATGTTGACGCTAATTAAAAGACATTGTGTTGGTCAAAGTCCATTTACAAGATGAGTTTGTCCTGTGTGCCCCTAGTTTGCAACTTCTGATTCTGGTTCAAACTCCTTGGTTTACAGATTAGGAAACTGAGATCCAGAGAAGTTAAGCTTCTGGTCCAAGGTTACAGGAAGTCAGTGAAGGAGTCAGAATCACTACCTGTGGCCTCTAACTCCTGTCTGCTGCTATTCCACTTATTGGTGCTGGTTTGGACCAGACATTGTCTGTGCTGGGTCAGTGTGGCTCTCAGGGGAGAGTAGACCTGGGTGGACATGGTTGTGTGATGCCTCATGTCACATTATTGCCCCTCTGCTTTTGTGGGTTGCTGAGCTCAGATGCCCCAAATGGGTGGGAAGTCTCAGGGAATTCAGGAAGCTTTTGCAGGTAGCAGCAATGCATAGGGAGAGGAAGAGAGTGGGGAGGATTTAGGCTGCCCCCTGGTTTGAAGCTCCTGAGGACTTAAGGCTTCTGTAAGTGCTTGCGAATGAACGCAAATAAAACAAGATTTTTTAAACTGAGACTTAAAGCAATTTTACTGTGTACCTGAGTCAAGGTTCTACTCATCTTTCTAGTCTCAGGTGAAAGACCTCTTCTTCTAGCAAGCCCTGGGGATGTTAGGACTATGTTTGTTGTCTCTGCTATGTGCTCCCATATCCTCCTCAGTGTCTCCCATCACCCATTAATTTCTACTCTTTCCCATGGCATGCACATATACAGAGCCACTTCCAAATCCTCATCCTTCCAGTCATTCAGGTGCATAGCTTGGGATCATCCTTGATTGTCCCCACTCTTCCTCTGGAGTTCCTCAGCTCCGAATCCCCTTGGCAGTCCTACCGCCACTCTCCAGTTCAGAAGTTTAATGATACAACATCGGACTATTGCAATAGGCTTCAAACCTGACTCCCAATCTATTCTCCCCATTACTGTCTGATATGTCTTCCCAAGCACAGTCTTTGAACTGTGGCATGCTCCTGCTCCAAGTAGCTCCCACTGGATAAAGTAGCAACTCCTTAACTTGGCATCCCAGGCTCCAAAGCACTGCAGCATTGCTGCCATGGTCATAAGGCTGGCCTGGGTGTGCATCCTAGCTCTGCCACTTATCAACTGTGACATAATGGGCAATTTTCTTGACTTCTGTGAACTCATTTGCTTCTTTGTGATAGGGGGTTTTACATAGAATTGTTTCAAAGAATAAATGAGATCATGAATATAAAGCAGTTAGCCTGGAATATACCAACTACTCAAAGGTATTATTTAAGGACCTCTAGGCTCTGCCCCCCATATTACCTGTCCCATAGGCTTAGCTCCAGTGACTTGAACTACTTGGTGATCTCTGTGCCTTTGCTCCTGTTTTTCCATCCTCTAATATTCATCTTTTTGTGGTGCTCCATTATATATTTTGTGCCATAGGTATTTGTGTACTTGTCTTGACTTCCTTACTCAACTGTATGTTGTTTGAGGGAAGGAACTGGGTTTGACTCCTTCTATACTCTACCTGGTATAAGAGACACAAAGTTTGTGGAATGGATATTTACCTCAGTGAAACAGCTGCCTAGACTTGGGTTCTGTATGAATTAGTTAATTGATAATGTGTTTATTTATAATAGCCTCATGGATATTTATTGGGTCCTACTGTGTTTAGGGGCTCAGTGGTAAAAGCATCAGGTACAATCTAGGCCCTGTCATGTAATGGGGAAACAGGCTGGTAGAGTGGCCATAATGCACGTGGTAAGGATGGTGACAGGGAAGGTGCAGGGCTGTGGTTGGGGAGGTACAGGGCTGTGATGGGAGACACTGAGGAGGATATGGGAACACATAGCAGAGACAACAAACATAGTCCTAACATCCCCAGGGCTTGCTAGAAGAAGAGGTCTTTCACCTGAGACTAGAAAGATGAGTAGAACCTTGACTCAGGTACATAGTAAAATTGCTTTAAGTCTCAGTTTAGAAAATCTTGTTTTATTTGCATTCACTCGTAAGCATTTACAGAAATACTTCCTTAGTACTAGGTTTTCTGAAGTGATCTCTCACTCTCAACCAAGGCAGCTGTTAACATTCGAAGGTTTCTAGGGACTGGGACAAGAGTTGTTGATTGTATTCAAATTTTAAGAAACACCACGCCAACAGCTGTGACTGGAGATGGAAAGTTTTCTCTTTTAAGAACTGGGTGGAAGATTATTCTCTTCTCTTTGGGAAAAGATAATCATATATTTTCATGCTTTCAGGGTGGGGCCTATTCTGTTTTTGTTTGTTGCTTGCTTGTTTTGTGGCTTCAGCTGTGTGGATACAGAGCAGGAAGGCTAGAAGCAGGAAGAGGCTGGGGTGTTTTCTGACCCTACAGATAGTTCTTCTTGGGTCGGGAAGAAACATGGGTGGGAGCAAACATGATCTGCAGCTGCAGAGGAAGCCAAGGAGATTTTTGTATCAAGGACAGTCTTGGGGATGAGGAACTGTATACAAGTCAGGAAACTTGACACCAGAGAGAGGCGGCCACAGAAGATAAGGGGTCATCTCTGTAGACCCGGTACAAAAGAAATGTACAAGAGGAAAGCAAATGAATTAAGAATCATTGTGATGAAATAATCAGAAAGATTATGAATGATACTTACATTTTTCTTTAAAAGGGATTACTTTCTTGGCTTAATGCTTGCACTCTGTTCTCTTATTTTATTATTTTATTTTTAAAGGTATTAAACTGTGCTTTTTAACCACACCTAACATTTAGGACCCAGAGCCTACGGCATCTACTGCCACCTGGTGGTAGAGTATACCACCTGTGGGATTTGGAATTGATGAGACTATACATTGATTGAAAATTGATTCTGCAGTCAAAATATGGAATCATAGAACATTAGAGTTGTGGAGATATTCAAGATTACATAGTTTTTCTTCTAATAAAACCCAACATCTTTTTATATACAGTATTTTAGTTGAATACTTCCAATGACAGAGAGCTCATGATCTGGCCTGACAGGCTATTTTGTCATTCATTCTTGTTAGTTAGAATATTTTTTCTTTTTATTTTTTAATAGAAAAGTCACTTGTATTTATTTGTCTTCATGTTTACCTCTGGAAAAACTCATAAGTTTAGTGATTCATCTACATAATAAGCCTTCAAATATTTGAAGGAATGTGTTTGTTTCCCCCATAATCTTTTTGTCTTCAGGTTAAACAGTCGTAGTTCCATATTTATTATTCTGACATCATGCTTTTCAGAATCCCCATAGCATTTCTTTCCTCTAGTTGCATTCTATGTTGCCAATGTTCCTGCTGCCAGAATTGGATCCAACCCAGTGTTCCAGACATGATCAGCTTAGTGAACTCTAGTACCTGCAGGCTGTCTGAACAGTGAACTTCTAACACATTCTGTATAGTATGAGTTAGCTTTCTGTAGTCTTTCCACAATGCTGACTCCTCTTAGGTTTGTGGTAACTGAAAGCTCAAGAATTTGTATCCTTTCCCACACTGTAAAACTTTTTTTAAAAAAAGCTAAAAGCAAGGCTGTACTTTAAAAAGAAAGTTTAATTATACAAGTTTAACACAAATACATTCTGAATTTCAGAGGTTACTCGTAAAGCCAAAGCCTTTTTGAACTCTGTACCAACTCAGTTTCTCTTTGGAGGCAGATCCTCATACTAGTTATTAGGGGTCGTTCCAGACCTTTCTGTGCATTTACATAGATGGATAGATATCAGCAGAAATGTGTAAATTTGTGTGTGTGTGTTTGAGGTTAACATATCATTTTGCAAGTTTTCTGCATGCAACATATCCTGGAAATCTTCTGCATAGTATATTTTGCAGTGTGGATATTCTGTAGTTTTCTTAGCAATTCTTCGATTATTTCTGGTTTTTAAAATCATCATAAGCAGCGTCTCCATGTACACATGTACGAGTGCTTCTTTAGGGTAGGTACGAAAGACTGGGTGAGTGATACATATATGTTTATTTTAAAATGTAGATCTCAGACATGAAATTTGCCCTTGTTAATTTTGACCTAGTGTTCGAATCTGCCCAGATAATTTTACATCTTGATTTTGGTCATCTATTATAATATGAAGCCTACTATACCAGTTTTGCATCATCTGCCCATCGTATAAGCATATCTTTGATCTGATCTAAGGAAGTGATTGTTTTAAAAGTCAAATACAACAATCAAGGGAGGAGCTCTGTGGCCATCACCAGAGACCTGCATTCCACCTAAAGCTCACTGTATTCTCCTAACACACACTTTGTCCGTGCAGTTTATCCACAGCAATTCTACCCAACTATACACTCATCCCATTCATTTTTCACCATCTTATATACAAGAATTTCATGGAGGACATTTGTAAAAGGCTTAGCAGAAATCCAGACTCACTTTCTATGACATTCTCCTGTCTACTGTAGCAGGACTGTCATGGAGGGAATTGAGAACACCACACATTGCTCCTGGGCACGTGTTATTTAAGATAGATCCTGGTAACACTTTAATGAGCAATGTGTTTATGTACCTCCATGCAAGGGTGTATTCAGTCTCAAAGATATCAAGAAAAAATCAGCTGTCCCCTCCCAGTTGCCTGTCTTACCTATATGTTCTCAGTCTAGTTGCTCTCCCAGGGAAACTGTCTGATGGCTGATACATAGTTGCTTTAGTGACAAGCTCATGGGTTATATTTCCAATGTTATTCAGGTAATTTGTCCCGCCCCATCATAACATAACAGAGGTAAAGGAGCTGGGCACAGTGCCTCACGCCTGTAATTCCACCACTTTGGCAGGCTGAAGCAGGCAGATCGCTTGAACCTAGGAGTTCAAGACCAGACTGGACAACATAGGGAGACGTCGTTTCTACAGAAAATACATAAATTAGCTAGATGTGGTGGCACACACCTGTAGTCCAGCTACTCAGGAGGCTGAGGTGGGAGGATCCCTTGAGCCTGAAAGAGAGCCAAGATCAAGCCACTGCACTCCAGCCTGGGCGACAGAATGATGCCCTGTCTCAGAAAAAACAGGCAAACAAAGAATAACCCCAAAACAAAAACAAACAAAAAACAGAGGCATCCTCACACAGATATCCACAGGCCTAGTGCACATATGTGTGCCTTGACACGTAGTTATCCTCACAAAATTGTCTCTGTAAACATGGTAAAAGGACTTCCCCTGAGTCACAGCCTTACTGGCTTGCTTTGTATCATCATAAAAAGAATAGAAGTGATAAGCAGGTAATTCTAACTTACTTTTATCTAGCTTAGAAACCTGTTATAAGACATGCCACAGATGACCCTCAAAATGGTAGTGAAGGTGAGACTGTGGTCCTGGGGTTCTGGGTGGGTGGTGCAGTATGGAGGCACTGTGGCTGTCCCTGGATGCCCAGCTGCAATTGCATCAGGCTGCATGGCTTCCCAGGCTGGGGTTTGGCAGCACCATTGCCCTTCTGTAGGTAGCCAGGCTTGGATTCTTCATTGAGGAAAAGTTCTTGTGTTCCCTCATTTTTAGGGCAACTAGTATGGAAAATATAACCTCAAGTATCTTTGATGTAATCTCCAAGGGAAAAGTTGCTCCAACTTTTTCTTACTATAAGTAGAAATTCTGTTTCCCATTTTTTCCTTCAATGGGCCTGAGCTATCGCTCTGGCAAAGCTACAGCCAAGTAACTTCTCCAGAATCCCACAGCTGGCTTTATTTGGGGGGTGAGGTGGTGGTGGTGCCAGTTCTGCTTCAGAAAAGTAGAATAAACAACAAATACTCCTTTAACAAAGCTAAAAAACATGGTGAGGAATTCAGAAGGGAAGTGATACCAAACGAGTGAATTGTGCCCCTTTTGCACTCTGCAGTGTCCCTTTACTTTGGGCACTACGTTAGGTGCTTGGTGCTGATGGAAGGCAGCAGTGGGGTAGGATATAAACTATATGATCATGACGAACAGTGACTTCAGTTCAGACGAGTTTACAGTGTGGTAAAAAATAGTCTGCAGACAACATGAATGCAATGAACTAACCAGTGTTTCTCTTGAAAGAGTTAGATGGATGCTTGGGTAAATAAACCACCCTTATAATAAAGAAGAGTCCACCTTTTATTTTTCATCAGTGCAAAGCTACATCGATTCTTCACACGCAGGCATGATAAACAGAATCAAAGCTTCTGCTGCTTGTTTCCAGTTAAACAGACCTATCCTAGGTAAACCTGTATTCCCCTCTGAGAGCACCCCTTCCTTCTGGTACTTGATTGACCCCCTGCCTTGGGAAAGGTTAACCCACCTCCACTTTTTTCTTGAATTACTGCTAGGAGGCAGAAACTCTGTGAGCTCTTAGAGAGCAGCCTTGGTGTTCTGTTCCTTCATGTATTTCCAGGCATCGTCCAGGGTGTGACATCTTGTAGGCACTTAGTAAATGCTTGTTGAGTGAATGAAAGCTGCCCTTCATCTACTCCCCATTCATTTATTCAGCACATATTTATTGAGTGACTTCTCCATGCCAGGCGCTAGGGATACACCAATGAACAGGACCTGGTTGGGAAGACAGATGATAATATGGGGACACTAATATGGTGTTGAAAAGGTACAGGATGTGGTGGGCGCAGCAGATGCAGGGATGGCTGGCCCAGCTGAGTTGGCCAGGAAGACCAGTTGGCCAGTTCTCCAGGAATTCCTAGAGACCTGAAGAATTAGCGCAGATAGCTAGATGAAGGCGGGATGGGAAACAGTGTTCCATGCCTAGGAAGAGCATATGCAGGGATCCAAAGGGAAGAGATAGCTTAGCATGGAAACGTGAAGGCTGACAACATAATGATAATCATAAACACATATACAATGCTTTCTGTGTGCCAGATATTATTCTAAGCCCCTTACATTTATGAAGTTATTTAAATACTATTATCATCCCCATTTTACAGAAAACGGAGGCACAAAGAAGTTTAGTAATTTGACTGATCTCACACAACTGTTAGAATTGGCATTTGAAGGGAGTTGGCTGCGGAGCCTTGGTGGTGACAAAACAATTATTATGCCTGTGTGTGTGTAGCACTGATTCCCAGTGAGAATCCTGGCATGCGGTTAGATATACATGGGCCTGTGGTAGCAATCAACTTGGAAATTGTCTTGTTAAGACTGACAGAACTCGTGGCATATCCTGATTGTTGAGTCTGTATTTGTCAGGCAGACGATGAGATTCCTTGCCTCAGTAGATGGTTTTGTTGTGTCTCATCCTATGTGAACAGGCTGCAGGGAGGGTGCCCCTGACCTCCTAGTAAGAAGGGACTTGGGGCTCAAACAACAGTTTAACTGGATGACCAAATCACATTCTTCACTGTAGATTCCCATCCCTAAATGGGGAGAAGGAGGAAAATGGTTTAAAGACCAATACCCAGAAATGGCCGACCTCTACTGGTGCTTCGCCACTGTGTGTGGTTGTTGGAGCTACAGGCTGTGAGGAAGAATAGTTTGGTTGATTGCCAACTTGGCCCCAAGGGAGTGGGCCTGAAAGGGGGTTAAGGCATTGGTTCTGCTTTCTTTCCTTCCATTTTGTAAATGGTAATCCAACCCCAAGTCTTTAGTGCACGGGCGTTGTGCAGCCCCTCCCTGTGACAGGTCATAGTGGCTGGGCCTTGGCCTCTGACTTCCAAATTCCCAACTTTCCCCCAGGCTTCAGTATGACCACTTCCTCTGAATCCCTGTTGCTGCTACAGTCCGACCCAGCACGGAGAGGTGTCCTCAGCAGCCTCCTCACTGCCTGCTGCCACTTGCTCAGGAAAAGCACATGAGTTGCACATCAGTGTTTGGAAAAATTAATGCTTTCAAGATGAGCTCCATACAGTTTTAGCACGTCTGTCTCTCTCACCAGCTGAAAGAAAGAAGCATGCTTAGACAATTACTCCCCAAGGGAGCCCAAGGACTGGCTTTGTTTATTGAGTGTTTTTAGTTACAACACGTGAAGTTCTGGGATTTTTTTGGCTTTGGCTTCTTTTTTCTGTTTTTGGTTATGGGAATATGAGTGGATTGCCAATTAACAGGGCACTTGGAGGTTTCAAAATTGTGAAAGGCATGTTTCTTACGTGGGCACAATTGCTGAGTCTTTGGGATAAGGAGCTCAGTAAGACGTGACAGATGGAATCCAGGCTCAGGGCTTACCTCAGACCAGCACTGCAGTCAGATGTTCAGAGTCTTCCATATGCAGCTGTTTGGAGCCACAGCTCCACCTGTGAGGGCCCCCTTCGCTTTCCTCAGACACCCCATATCTTTACAGTCTTCCGATAGACGTACCACATAGTGACACAGTCACAGTCAGCTTTCACCTTACTTTACCCTGTGCCACCTCCCACCACCTTCAGCTTCCCCCACCTGATGCATAAAACTCTAAGTAGAGATGGCAGGTTTTAAAGCCTGAGGTTTGGGGAGTCAGAGCCCATTGTACAAGGGCAGGGATGGCTGACTTGAAAGCCTGTGTATTACAATTCTTCCTGCCTTCCTGCCTGTCTTTGGCAGACATCACTAATTGACAGTGCCATTCTTTCCCCATCTATCCTGTAAGTAGCCGCATAATCTTCAACACAAAACTCTGGACAGTCATTGCCCTTTGGTTAGAGCTGGAACTTGAGATGCAACATAGTTTCCATTGCTGACCAAAATCCCATAAGGTGTCTAAGTGGCTGATAAATGAATGGTTTGAGAGGAGTTGAGGTTCTTCCTGAATGCTTGTTATGGAGAACCCATCATGACTCTTGTGGTAAGTAAGGGATGTGGAACAAAGTGGGGAATGAATAGCATTTTCTCATGATATAGTGATGGAACTCTATCCGCCAGTCACTTGAACAGGTGGATAAGTCTGGTGAATTTTTTACTGTGACCTGTGGGTTCTCTGAAGACAATTTCATATTCTAGACCTTATGAGTAGGGGGTAGAGAAGGAAATTGCTGCCATGGCCCTGAGGAGCACCTCCTTTTTCAGAAAAGATTTGAGCCACTACTTTAGTAGCAGCTTCAATATTTAAATGCTTTGAAAATTACCAGAGTAACAAGTGCTTATAGTTAAAAAATTATAACAACATAAACTTTTATAAAACACAATTCTCTTAACTACCTTTCTTCATTCTTCAGGGATAACTACTGTTAATAGTTTGGTGTGTATATATATATACTACTAGAACTCTTCTATGCATAGTGAAATACATACTGATAGTGTGTATGTATATATTTATATATCTATTTTCACAAAAAGTGGGATAATACGAATTGTTTCCAATTATTTCACAAATCATATCCTTTCATTCAATAATAGATCACGGAACCCTTTCATTCAATAATAGATCATGGAACCCTTTCATGTTACTACATATAAAACTGCTTGCTTTTGTTAATGGTTTCTAAGTATAATGTAGGCTGTGTCATAATTTATCTTATTAGTTCCTTATTGTGGGACATTTAGGTTTTTTCTTTCCTTTTTATTTTTTTCTATTATAGAATACACTGCAATGTGTGTATAAGTACAGATATTTCAGTAGGTGAGAATCTTAGAAGAATTGCTAGGTTGAAGGCTATATACTTTAGAATTGTTGATTGTACTGCCAAATTGACTTGGAAGAATATTATATCAATTTAGTCTCCTACCAGGTTGGTTGTTTTGTTGTGTGTGTGTGTATGTGTGTGTGTGTGTGTGTTTTGCTGGGGGCAATCTTATAGGTAAAATGTGGCATGCTGTTATTGCTTATTTGCATTTCCTTGATCATTAGTAATGATCAACCTCTTTTTACTTTTTATCAATCATTTATATTTCCTCATCTGTGGGTTGCCTGTTCGTAATCTTTACTTATTTTTATACCAGGTTGTTAACTTTTTCTTAATGGTTTCTAGGAACTTTTTGTAAATTAGAGATATTAACCCTTTGTATAATTTATCGTTGCAACCATGGCAAATATTTACCTCCTGCATTATCTTTTAATGTTCATGTTTTTGCAATTTTATCTACTATTTTATTCTGTGAGGACTTAAAATATATGAAAATATTTGAACAGTGTTCAAAAATTAGTACAAAATAAATAGGTCTTTATGTGACCCATATACCTGTCTACCAAGCCACTTTTTCCATAGGTAACCATCAGTATTAGTTTACTGGGAACCCTCCCAGTTTTTCTTTTTATAAATATAAGCAAATCAGAATCCATACTTATGTTATCCCTTTCTGATCAAAAGCAGGTGAATACTAACTATCCTGCTCAATGCCTTGCATTTTTAACCCAACAGTATGTCTTGAACATCTTTTCATATCAATTCACAGAACGCCTCATCATTCTTTACTCATAGCTGCATAGTGTTTCTTTGTGAAGGTATACTGTCATTCAGTGGGCATCAGACTTTTTTGCTTCTGTATGCTCTAAAAGAATATTGAAAACTTTATGCCCCTTCACACATTTAAGTGGATACCTAAACATTTTTTTTTTTTTACCATGAGTTTAAAGGTTGCAAATAATACATTTTCTAGCATGTTGCATATTATAATAGGCTTTAAACACATTTTCTTCAAAATCTTGGAGCTACGGATTTATATGAATTGGGAAAGGCAAATTTGATTGTCAAAGCAAGTAGCCAAATTAGACATACTTACTTCCTGTCAGAGAAAGTCTAATTTCACTTTTTATAATTCAAACAAGCATGTTAATTAGACACCCTCTGTGACAACCCCATCTTCAGAATTCTAAGAAGAGTAGAGAGCAAGCTATTAACAAATAGATGTGGTCCTGAGACTAACCATGCTTTCTGCCTTCTAGATGAAAGAAGGCACAATTGTTTTCAACATCTCCTTGGTGATCTAATCGAATCATGGGGCTTTACTTTACTCTGCATGCACCAGTGGCTCTGTTTCGTTACCTATTACACCACCCCAAATCTTAGCGACTTAGAGCATCAATTTATCATTCTCATAATTGTGGGGCTTACCAGGCAGTTCTTCTGCTCCATGTGGTATCTGTTGGGGTGCTGGGATAGCTGGCAGCTCCAGGGTGGGCTTCCTCTGGTGGCTGCGAGGGGGCTGGGACTAGCTGGGGATCTCAACCAGCATCTGTAGTTCTCTTCCACATGGCCTTTCCATGTGGCTTAGCCTTCTCACAACAAAGCAGCTAGACGCCAAGAACAGTTGTATCTATTATTGACTCCATTATTTTAAAATGTCTTTTAAAGAGTTAGGTGATACAGTCCAAGGGTCAAAATTTAAAATGTGTAAGATGATTTACAGTAAAAGGTTATCCTTCTGACTACTGTTCTTCAGCCTCCTGTTCTCCTTTGGTGATTTGTATATCCTTCAAAAAATTTTTATAAATGTGTATATAAGCCAATATACTGAGTTTTGTGTCTTGCTTAGGAAAACCATCCCCCTTAAGATTATAAATATTTTTCTTCTTGAAGTTTTATAGTTTTTTTTTTTCCCATGGATATCTTTAGGCTTTATTGAGTGCATGATGTGAGGCCAGGATTGATGGACTTTTCGGGATGCCAAATAATTGCTGTTCACTATGCTGATGGTCCATCGGGAACTTTGTATTGTTTCTCTTCTCCTCAGTGCTGAGGGTCATCCACATGTGTCACAAGGTATAGCCAAAATAGTTTTCATAATTGAGTCTCCAGTGGAACTTTCCAACCTGTGTCAGAAAGAGGAGATCAGATGAGTTGGGGCAGCTGGACATTTTCATTTCTCTAGTGAGGGAAGGAGAGTGTCACAGGAATTAGAGGAAATGTAAGCTCTAAGAATCTGCCCCCTCCTGAAGGGCAGGTAGAGAAGCCTGGGAAACTTGGAGCAGTGACTTGACTCTTAACTCTGGTCCCATGAATTGAGAATTTCAGCGTGACCTGAGCTTGTTTTTGTTGCAGGAGAATGCACTAACCTTTATGAAGTATCTACTATGTATTAAGTGTAGTGCTTTGGATTTTATATGCTGTTTTGTCTTTTCCTCATGAAAAGTTCAAGTTTTATGGGATTAGTCTTATCTTCATTCAAAAGATGAAGAAACTGAGATGTGGGAAGTTATTCCAAAGCCTCAGCCCTTTCCCAATACCTCAAAGGCTTGGAAATTAATGGTACAGAAGGTATAAAAAGGTTTATAGAATTTACGAGACTCAATTATTTTTAAGAACCATAAGCAGAGTTCATTTGTTGAAAAGTAAGGTGATCTTTGCAAATAGTTTTATTTTTTCTTTTTGAAAATAAGAACCAAGGAAGAGAGAATTCAAATTGGCTAGTGTGCAAGTAATTTCATTATCCAGCTCAGTGTGTATGTATGTAAGGAGCCAGGATATTCAGGTAAGTCAGATATTCTGATTTAACAGTGGGTGGCCCTGTGTAACACACACAGATTATATACTTTCCATAAACAGACAAAAATACTCAAGGGACTATAGCAAAAAAGGGACTAAGTAGAAAAAAAATATTGAGCTCTAGATATGTGCTAACCAAAATTTAGCATTTATTTGACAATACAGTGGGTTCCTTTTGATATGGTTGAACTTCACATTCATTATTATCAATCCCAGTCCTCATGGTATGGTGCCTGATTTTACTGGGCAGACCTGCTGAGGGGGGCTATCTGGAAAAGTTCCTGGAGGGGATGGAGAAGGGCATGGGATGGAGAGAGCAGGTAGAGGTTCACAGGAGGGCTCCGCCTGGCCTAAGGAGTGAGGCTTCAGCTGTGGTGACTGGCAACTTAGCTTCCTGATTCTCTGATGGTGACCTCAGGGACTGAGAGATGTGAGGAACATTTAAGAGAAGCCAGACCTCCTGAGGGGTGAACGGCCTCCTGTCAGCCATGAAGTAACACTACCTCCTTTGATGGGCAGAGAAATGACTCTTGGTGGAAATGAGATGGAGGAACTGTGTGACTGGCTGCGAGGGAAACAGAGGAGGTGATAGTGAACTCTGGATTGCAGAGGCTCATGGATCAGTTCTGAGAGGGTCTCTCCAAATATTTACCAGCTTTTTTTTTTTTTTTTTCCCTCAAGAACTCCTTTGCAATGTAGGTGCCTTGGGGAAGGCAGCCAACCAGGTGTTCATGCTGAGTAGGAAATGGGAGGTCAGGGCAGTGAGGGAGGATGGAAGGAGCACCAACTTCCGTGATTGACTTCATTGGGATGGCCTCACAGGGACATGCCTGTGAAGACCTAGGGAAGGGAGTCATGGACTCTGCTCCCTGACTGCAGATATCCATCCCCACCACTGCTTACCTAAGGCCTGCACTCCTCTATGCCTTCCTTTGACGTAAGCTTTATCTTTTGGCAAAATAGGAATATTTCCTGAGGGCCTAAATATTAAGCTGTCATCATAAATACCTTGGATGGGATGAAGTTGTCATGGTACTTTTCACAGGACTTAATGGAGAGGGCATGGGGCCCAGGATAGATAAGCTTCGTAAGGTCATGAAGGAGGAGAGGGGACTGGCTCTTGGGTGGGCAGTGGCGGGTATTGGGGTGGCATGCTGTGTTAGAGATTCAGTGCAACCTGGGGGTTCTATTGACTGCTGGGGGAACTAGAAGCCCCCAGGGAAGCAAGGAGGGGTCAGGTTTTCACCACTTAACGAGGTGGTTTAGAGCCCAGGGCAGTGAAAGGTTGTCTTCCATGAGCTGGCCATGCCTCAGCCAAGGCAGAGTTAAAGATCCTCAGCAGAGGTCGGAGGTGAGCCAGGTGAAAGCTACACAAAAGCCGAGGTAAGGCAGAATAATTAGCTTCTGCCTTTCCCTCCTGCTGCCTGGCCTGATATTTGAGGTGACATTTAAAGCCATTGTACAGATGTGCAGTGAAACTGTGGCAGAACGAAGGCTTTCTGGAGCCTGTGGAGAGGCAAGGCTGATTTCTCAGCCTCCTGGCTGGCAGCTTCTCACCCCTCCATGTGGGGCCCTCTACTGGGCCTTGAAAGGAGAGAGGCCCCTCTGCCTTCCAGGTGAGCATACTCTAATGGGGGGCTCAGACTCTCCCTCCCTACTGGACTCTCAGGGTGTTGGGGGAGGTGGGGTACACACTAGAATTCAAGATAGTGACACGAAGCCAGTGCTGAGGGTAGGAGAGGAGAGCAGGGACTGAAGCGGATAGATCACCATCGCAGAATTCTCTGGGGAGCTTGTTAAAAATGCAGGCCTCTGGGAATGAGGCCTTGTTATCTGCATGGATAACCAACCCTCTAAGGTGATTCTGCTGCCCATTAAACTTTGAGAACCTCTGAGATAGAGAATGTGTGAGGTTAGCTGGAAAGGGCCTCTTGGGAGGGGTGGACTTGAATTTCAGTGTCTAGGTGATACTTGCTGTAGATACTGTCCTCAGGTGTGGACCTAAGAAGCCTGTTCACCTAGGGACACTAAACTCATGGGAGAGACTGGCAGGGGTCCAAGCCACCCTTGAAATGGCATCCCTGAGAATGTGTTGCCCCGGGCTCCACTCCACCACTTGGGCACTAATCACCAAGGGGGCAGAAGTGGTATGGGAGGTGGCTGAGGATGCTGTCTACTGGAGTGTTTGATTCATGTTACAACTGAAGCACAGCTTGCAGGGCAAAATGGTAGCCGGGTGGAGCCCGCTTCCTGGGGCAGATCAGTATGTCTGTGGATGGTCTTCACTTTGGTTTGCAGATACCAGCAACTATGCTACCTCCTGTGTTGCCTTCACTTGCCAGATAGGTCCATGTGTCTGAGGAGTTAGGTCAGTGCTGCTGAGGGAACAGTGGCCATTGTTGTCCCAGGAGATGAGTGGGAAAGATTTGAGATGTGGTTGGATCTCTCCTCCCTCCGTGCTGCTTGCCTTCTGCTCCATACACTTGTGCTGACTTTATCTGATTGGGAACACAGTGTTTTCAAGTTGGGGTGGGTGAAGAGAGGGAGAAAGAACAGTGCCAAGGAAAGAAGAAGGAACATAGTAGAGAAAGGAACACATCCATGTTGTGATATCAAATAACTGCTGAACATCCGGATGGGCATCGGCCTTCTGGAGTGGCTGGGCTGTTGCTGGCCTGGTGACACTGCCTGACCCTGGAAAACATGTCTCTATAGCCAGCTGGGTGGGCTGGAGGAAACATGCCAACGGGAATAGCTGTGCTTGCTTTGACCATGATGAAAGAAGGAGCCACTGTGGAAGCATTTTATAAGACAAAACAAAAACAACAACAAAAACCTACTAATAAGGCTGTGTCCTGCCCAATATCCTTTCTAATTGCACTGCAGTTAAATGGCAATGCCGACAGTCTCTTGGAACATTTTATTCAACTTCTGGAGGGGCTGCATTTCAAGTAAGACTTATGAGGCTCTGTCGGAGATGAAGAAATGAGCAGTGGTGGGCTGGGGAGCTCCAAGGAGCCCAGCTTGATGGGTTGAAGCCAATCTTGAGTAAAACTCCAGGCTGAATGGGTTCACCCTGGGGCTGACCCGATGGGCATTGCTTATGTTCTTAGATCTGTTTGTGGGGGAAGTGCTTGTACCCATATTATTCTTGACAGTCTTTATTCCCTTTTCCACTGCAAATGAGACTGTGTGGACTGTTTTGCCCTTGATTACTGGAGGGAGGGGAACAGGGCCAGCTTCTTTCTCCAGTCCCAAGAATGAGACTTGTAGCACTAGCACCATTAGAGCACTCTCTGGGACTTTTGGCCTCACAGTCAGATCCTCTTCCATTGCCCCTCTCTGTCTAGGTCTCCTGCTGTGATGGGAGCCTCCCGTTTCAGATTTCTCCCAAGTTGTGTTAGAAAAAGTCTTTTTGGCATTCTTATTTGGAGATGCACTCTCTCTGCAGTTATAAGTCAAGGGCCAAAGAAAAAGATAAAAAGCCGTTAGTTAATAAGTGGCCACATTTGGACCCTCCACTCAATCTGTGCCCATGGCATGTCAGCGCCGCCCTGGAGGGGCCTCCCTCAGGGTTCCTGTTAGGAAACAGCCATGTTTCCCCAGGTCCTGCCTTACTGGAGGGCTGCCATATCTTAGTGAAACATGTCACAATTTCCCAGGAATCTCTTAGCGCCCCTGAAACTCTCAGGAATGAGACAGATGGGCACCTACGAGTTACCTGACCTTAAACAAGTTATTTAATCTTGTGGAACATGGGTTTTCTCCTCTGTATACTGGAGAAAGTGATTCCCATCCTACAGACCTTGCAGGGCAAGCAGGAGATGATAGTTATGAAAGTACTTTGTGAACGAAAAAGTACTGGCCACACGTGAGCGATGAATTCTTGTTATTCGTGAAGGGCAGAACACCGGGTTACTTCTCTCTGGAGGGAGGAGGAGGGGTTTGCATTCTTGTGTTAACTACACACTGGAGTCTTGTCCATTTAAGGTAATAAGAAAATAATGCTAACAGAGCCTGAGAGGTAGCTTCTTGGGTGGTGATATCTCTGCCGAGACCCAATGCTGCCCTTTAAGAAGAAACCACAAGGCATCTGGGGGGCAGGAGCAGGCGGTGGAGGTTGTGGCTCTGCTTGCTTTCTCTCTCTCCCTCCTGGCTTCTACCCCCTGGACGTGCCTCCTCCCAGGTCTGAGTTCTTCAGAAATCGGCAGCCTGTCTCATCTTGGAGGTATAAGTTCCAAGGAAGAGGTGATGCCGAGGGAGACATGCCTGCCAGTTGCCTGATGGAGACCAGGAGGCCTGGAGACCACCATTTCTGCTAGGACAGTGAGAAGGCATTGCTGGCATGGCCTAAGCTGCACAGAGCTGTGATGAATGTGCAGATGGCTGTTGGGTATTTTTTAGGCTTGGAGAACAAGGTCTTCCTAGACCTGGGGACTCCTCAGGTTTCATTTCAGTGAGCGGCACTCCCAGTCACCTGGGTCACAGGCTGGCCCACTGTAAGACGGGCTGTGTGTGGGGCAAGGACTGGGCACCCCGTCATGCCCCAAAGGCCTTAGACAATGCCCAGGGGCTGAGATCTCTACAGCTTACTTTTCTCCTTGCCTTGAAAACAACATTGTATCGGGGACTCAGATGCCCTTGCATATTCATTTGTCCAGTTAGTAATCACTTGAGTAATTGCAAAGTTCAGTGTTCTTTGAGGGACACAAAGATGATTAAAAAGCAGATCCTACCTTCATGGAGTTTATGGGTAAGTAAGGAAGAAGAGTCATATACAAAGGAGAAGGTGGAATGAAAAAAATAAAATATAAAGGAAGGAAGATCAGGGAAGTCTGCCTGGATTCTGTGGCATTTGAGTTATTTGTTGGAAAAATTAGGAGCATTTGGCCATGATGAGGTAGGAGAGTGGGGAGAGCATGCTACTGGCAGGAAGGGCAGGAGCAAAGGCCTGGGGATAGAAAACCGTGGGATGTATGAACGTGTGGGGAATTGAGAGTCTGGCAAGAGGGAGAGGGGTTGAGAGGTAAGGGAGAACCTTGTATCTACCAGTATCTACCAGGTGCGACACCAGAAACATATTCTTTTGCTTTGAGGCTCACAAATACTGTTCTCTCTGGTTTACAGAGGAGGAAGCTGAGGCACAGGGAGCTGAATAACTTCATCGAGGCCAGGCAAGTATTAAGTGGCAACCAGGATTTGGACCCATGACTGTCTCTACTATAGAGCCCATGCTTCAGAGCCCATGCTGTCTCTACTATAACAAAGGTTCCATGAAGGGACGTGGGAAAAAAGGATCTGTGGCCTTTTACTAGTCATGCAGGTCCTGCAGTCTTGGGCAAGGAGAGCCAGTGGTCCCGACAGTGAGGCAGTGAGGCAGTGAGGCAGTAAGGCTCCCGGGCTCCTGGACTGGCCTCAAAGTCCAAAATGGCTGAGCTTCTGGCTTCCCACCCCACATTCTACTGGAGGAGCCACTGGCCTCTGGTGTGGGAGGCATGGAAGCCAGGATGGCAGGAGATGCTGGAAAAAAATTTAAGACATGGACTTGCCTGTGGAGTTTCATTCTCAAGACCACTGCAAACCTCGCGTCTTTGCGAAAGCCCTTCCTGACTCCCTCCCACGCATCTCCGACCTCCCCTTGGGTCCAGGCAGGCTCGGTCTGCACACGGCGTTGTTCTGCACTTGTTCCTTTGTTGCTGTGAAACCGGCTCCCGGCACAGTCAGCCTCTGTGTGGGAGGACTGGTGGCTGTCTTTGCAGGCAGGCATTTGCTTAGAGCAGGCTGTGTGCGAGCCCAGCATCAAGTGATTCCGGCCTCCTCGAGTCAGCGGTGGTGGGATGAGGCTCTGCCGAGGGGACTGGCTGTGAAGGATGAGTTCAGGGTGGGATGACGGACCGCTTCTGGGACCAGTGGTATCTCTGGTATCTCCGCTTGCTCCGGCTGCTGGATCGAGGTATCCTGAGTGTGTGTATGCTTGTGTGAGAGACTGAGAGAGATAAATACCCATAGAGACATAAAGAGACATGCAGAAAGACACAGCAGAGAGGGGAGGGGGGTCAAGAAGAGAGAGAAGGAATGAAACAGAGGCAAGTAGCAAACCCATGGAAAGTAAAGAAAGGTGATTTTTCTGGGGACATGTATGACCCAGCTGGGAATCAGGAGCACAGGGTCATTTGGGGAGCATCTGTGTAACAGGATCTCATTTCTTGCTGGGTTTTTCATCAAGCTCAGTACTCTAGTCAAATACAAGTTAAGCCCTGTCTTGCAGGGCTCTTGACAGAACTCTCTGAGAAGCAGTGCAGAAGGAGAATGATTCCTGCAGCAAGAAGCTGGGGGCAAACAGACTCAGGCTCAAATCTCAGCTCTGCCACTGACCTTAGCTTGATTTATGTGACTTTTCTGAGCTTGTTTACCCATCTATGAAATAGGCACGGTAAGACCTATGTGCTGGGGTTGCTCTGGAGCTATTGTTTAATTCATAGATGTAAAATATATAACATCATATCTGGTGCACACAGTAGGTGCTTAGTAAATGCTGAGTTCCTCCCTGTGCACTTCTTAGCTTCACGGAACTATTAATACCTATCCTGAGGATAGTTCCCTTTTTTGATTATCTATAGACAGAGCCGGTACAGAATTTGCAGGTAGTGGAAAGAAAAGAGAAAATCAGTTTTATTTCTCAGGTTAATCTGACCTTAATACATTTTATCATCAAATATTAATGCAATTAAAGTGTCCTGATAATGTGACACAAATCCAGATGTTCTTTTGAAAGGAAAAGCCACTGTGAACTTGTTTGGTAATTGATTTTTTAAAATGTTGAATATTATTTTTAAAAGCTTTGGCTTCTTTAAGAGGTTTTGTCAAGAACGAGATCAAACTCTTGATGGGAAAGATGGCCCTGGGGAAGCCTTGCTATACAGCCCAAGATGTATTCATCTGTATGAGGAATAGTCTTAGTGTGCCAGGAGATCAATACCAGGTGGAAGCAGAGAGCTGCACAGAGCAAGTGAACCAGGACCCTTATCAGGGGAGAAAACAAAGATGGAGGAAATCAAACCAGCACACACTAAAAGCAGTTTCTCACTAGCACCGAGAAACAGGCCAGTGGGAGCCCAGACTTGAGATGGCGTTAAAAAGGGAACCAGAACTTCCTACTGATGAAGATTATAGACTGGGAGAAGGGAGAAAAGACCACTAGGTGTGAATCCTCTTTATCTGTGTGACCTCAGGCAAGTTGATTAACCTCTCTGTATCTTCTTCCCTACATTCGTTAAAAGGGGTGATGATGACAATGGTAGTACCAACTCAGAGGGTTGCTGTAGGGGCTGAGTGAGAAACTATAAGTGAAATACTTATTCCAGTGCATGGCACAAACAAAGTACTCTTTAAATGGTAGTTTTCATTACCAAGACAGTTAATTCTCACTCTCCAACAAACATCCTGGGAAAGACAGGAACAGGTGGTATATAATACCCGGGAACTAAGAAAAGTCCAATTAAGAATGGTGAGAGGCTTAGAGACAATTTATACTTAGATGAATTAAAACAAGATTCACACTACCATATGATGTTAATTATAAGATGAAACGATGTCAATGTATAAGCTATAATACTACCAATTTATTTTTATCTTTTAGAAATGCTTGAATCCATGAGTCACAAACTTAGGTTCAAGTTCTGGCTCCATTGCCTTCTAAGTGCCCTTGAATAAAAGGCTAAGGGTAAGGACTTAAAAATAAAAGGTATTGTTTTCTAGAGCTATACTTAACCAAATTCTCAGTTTGTTAATCTTAAAAATTGAAATACTAATCATAATGCCTATATCATAGAATTTGGGGGAAAGTTATTGTGTTAGTGCATATATAGTGTCAGGCATTTTGGAAATGTCAGGTTAATGAATTTATGGGTTGATAGATTAACGTGTCCCCTTGGATAGCAAAAGCTGGTTGCAAGAATTATGTGGTCTTCCATGCATGTTTGATCACCACATATGGCTGTAATTTGAAAGTTTATGTGTCTTTCTATCTATAGGGTTTTCCTTAATGTGAGGTTTTAGACCAGTAGCTCTTGACTGTGTAGGGTGTTTGATTTCCAGGTGTTTGGAGATTGGGTGTTGATTATATTTCCCAGTTCTGGTTAATCAGTATTAAAGTATTATACATGTGTGCATACCCACATCCATATTCAAAAAGAATTTTCAGTTATAGCACCTTTCCTCTCGTAATGAATGTTACCTAACTTTGCATAGAAAATGGCATGCTTTAAAGTGGCATGTTAGGCTGAGCTAGATCATGAAAGATGCTCAATAAATATTTGTTGAAGGAATGAATGAATAAATGAATGAAAGATGAACCTGCCTTTCTGGGCGGTGAACAGAATTCCCTTAGATTTGATCTTTCTTAAGTATAACAGAATTCAGCTCCTTTGATTTGTTTGAAGATTTTATATCATTTTGCCCTCATCATTGTCGTGCCTTATGTCATCTTGAAAGTAACAGGCCTCAAGAAAGTAAGGAGGGGATAGGAAATGAGAAGTGGGAACTGATGAGTTTATCCCAGGAAATTGAAATAATCGATGAGCTGTATGCTGGCCTGAGTCACTCACTTGGCTGTGACTGGAAGATAAGTGAATCTGTGATTTGACACACCTAGGAAAAGGGAGGAAACATTGGAACACATCATGGAGCTGAAATAAACTTTACAAAGAAATAACAGCGTAGGCTTGATGATTGCAGACTAATCTTTTGTCTCCCCCATCATTGTTCAGCTGAGGGTAAGGATTTAAAAAAATAAAGGATATTGTTTTCTAGGGCTATACTTAACTACATGCAAGAATTTATTTGACAGTGTACTACCAGCTTGTTCAGACATTATTTTGATGATTTATTCTCCTTAATAATAGATGCTGTTTTTACGGTGTTTGTTACTGGGCGTTTGTCAATTCTGCTGATTGTATTCTGTGCTTATAGACGTTGACTAAGGAGATGGTTGCTATGGTGGGGACTGTCTATCAAAACAAAAGAGCTCATAGAGATAAGAAGCATGAGTTGTATATGAAAGAAGTCACATTGCTTTTTGTTGTTGAGTTTTGGTGTATTCATGGGGACCTGACAAGTAAGGTAGGGGTTTAGGTTCCTTTGTTTACATGTAATATTTTTTTGGTAATGAGAGGGGAAGAATGAAAGACTGCTGCTCTTTATTCATAGAGCATCAGGCAGTTTCCCAGCATGTGGGAATGTCCACCACTGGTAGTACATGAGATGATTTTAGGTGATTTACAGATGTTTCTTGAGCTTATCTTGCTGGCCACTGCCTGGCACAGTCCAGAAGACAATCTGTTTTCCCTGATGCCTGCTTCTGTTGAGCTGTCCACTGCTGCCCCACCCATTCACTGTGGGCCCTCCTTAAGCCCACCCATTCCTCTGCTTTTCCTTCATTCCTACCTCTAGTCTCCCTCTTCTCCTTCCAGCATCCCTGCCTGGGCCTCACACTTTGCCCTGCCTTAGTTTCTTGGCCCCAGTAGTCTCCAGCCTCCCTGGCCCTCATGCTTATTCTCTGTCCCTTGTGTTCTTTCAAGGCACAGCTTTATGCTACCTGCTACAAGTATCCCCATTCCCTGGCATTTCTCTATTATTCTCTCATTGCCCAGCTTCCATCCCTTCTTATGTCTGTGCTGGGTCACCTTCACCCCATAGATCCTGTGTCTCCAATCCTGGACCTGCCCCTACCTGTCTTCCTTGCCTCTAACCCTGAGTGCCTTTTCCTTTCAGCCATGATCTTCTTTTTTCTTTTTCTCCTACCTTTTTATGCCACCTTGCAGTCCACTAATTCCTTTTATAAAGAAATATAAGTAAAAAAGAGTCAACTTAAAACAATATCAAGGAAACAACAGTGTAGGAAGTATGTGGATATGGTTAAAATACTGACAGAAGTACAAAATTTACTGATGTTTGTCATTACGTCAACATCTCACATGTTGAACTTAAGGATATGCTGAATTAGACTGCTAATTTCTTCTTGATGCTTTTAAAAATTGACACATAATAATCGTACATATTTATGGGTACAAGTGATATTTTGTTACATGTATACAATGTGTAATGATCAAATCAGGGTATTTAGGCTATCCATCACATCAAACATTTCTTATTTATGTTAGGAACATTTCAAATCTTCTCTTCTAGCTATTATGAACTATACAATATAGTGTTAATGATCGTCACCCTGTGCTATCAGACCCTAGAACTTACCTTCTGTCTATATGTTTGTAACCATTCACAAACCTATCATTGTACTGTTTACACCTTAAGATGAACTTTTTTAGCTTCCACATATGAGTGAGAACATGTAATATTTGTCTTTCTGTACCTGGCTTATTTCGCTTAACATAATGACCTTCGGTTCCATCTATGTTGCTGCAAATGACAGGATTTCCTTTTTATAGCTGAATAGTATTTCATTGTGTATATATAACCATTTTCTTTATCTGTTCACCCATTGATGGACACTTAGATTGATTCCATATCCTGGCTATTGTGAATAGTGCTGCAGTAAACATGAGGGTACAGGTATCCCTTGATATACTGATTGATCTCTTTTCCTTTGGATAAATACCCAGTAGTGGGATTGCTGGATTGTATATAGTTCTATTTTTAGGTTTTATGAGAAACCTCCATACTGTTTTCCATAACATTTCCCACCAGCAGTGTATGAGTTCCCTTTTCTCCACATCCTTGCCAGCATCTTTTATTTTTTGTCTTTTTGATAATAACAATTGTAATTGGGGTAAGATGATATCTCATTGTGGTTTTGATAGCATTTCCCTGATGATTAATGATTTTGAGCATTAAAAAAAAATGCCTGTTGGCCATTTGTGTGTATTCTTTTGAGAATAGCCTATTTGGGCCAGGTGCGGTAGTTCACGCCTGTAATCCCAGCACTTTGGGAGGCCA